TTTTGGCTAGTAGTGAAACTCCCAAATGAACTCAAGTGCCTGTGATAGGTTCTCTTGTGAAAGGTTCTCATAACTCTTGTCTGACATTGAATTTAATTTTTTTGAAATAATCTTTTAATTAAAAATGAACAAAAGTCAAGTATTGTTTAAATTCTTAATATCCTTGTGCCAAAATAAAATAAAAATATATTGAAAAAAGTATTTTTCCTCACTGCAGTGTTCATTAATGAACATGTCTAGTGGCAGTTGGAGCAGTACAAGGAATTTTGTAAAAATCCTAATTTAAAAAAAATTACAATTTACATTTTTATAGGACAGGGTTTTTTTTAATTTAGTTTCATTCACATTGCTGTCCTGAATACTAATCTCTGCTTTGCATTGTTTCTATCTGCATCCTTCCTGCCTAGCCAAAGCTCATTTGAACCCTTCAGCAAAATGAATTTTATTACTAGGCAGAGATATAATAGTTTAATTAAATCATCTTTGCAAAATTATCCTGAAAAATTATAAACACTGGCTCAAAACTCAGTCACCTGCTCTCACCATAATAATTAAAAGCTGAGCAGGCACTCAACTCATGAAATTTAGCCTCTCTTCAGCCTGGGAAATGTCTGTGAATAGATTGTGATTATTCATTATTCAAATTCACTTGACACATTTTTAATGAGATTCAACGCCATCTTTAATCCTATAGATATATTGGGAACAGTTCCCTTGGTGTATCTGAGCTTGTATCAGCTAGCTGGAGATGAGTCACACAAGCTATATGATATTCTTTGTGTTCTCTGATTGGATGAACATCTCTCTTATCAGGTGGAAGTTCTGGAACTCTAAATCTCTCAATAATTTAGGGAGAAGGCGCAGATAAATAGAATTATGGAATTTCAGAAATCTCACTCTCTCATCCACTCAGGCCTTTCTCAAGGGATTCTTCCTAGAACAATTTGGCTCCTGTAAAATGAATTTTCTGGGTGCAGAGGTTACAGCCAATATTTTCTCACTACATTCATGTAAAGACATTTTCTATATATTTGCAGTTCTAGTTGTGAAGGGTACTGTCAGATTATTGTCTAACTCATTTAACTGCCTAGGTCACATGCCAGGGCATGGAAAATTTCTTAGGATACTGGTCTCCTTCTGGTGTTAAGCAGTGTTTCATCCAGACCCAATACACCAAGAGCACTACATTTACTAGTTGGCAATTTTCTGTCATTTTCCCCCAGCCATTGTTACAAAATGTGCGTGTGTCTGTTCATAGTTGTAGCAGCAAAGGTAGTGGCACCCTGTCTTTTGGCTGCACCTAGCAATCTTATATGCTTTATGGTCCAGATATGAGCTTGCGCCCTAGCACTGCAGCTTTGGGACTGCATAAGCTGAAGATCTCTGAATAATAGCAGGGCTAGCAAGTGAACCTGCAGCCATATACATCCCAGCTTCAGTCAAGGTTAGAAAATCAAGCAGGTTGTGTGGCAGTTCCACCTGCCAACATCTGTCTAGGTCTGCTGGCCCTTTTTCTGGGCCTATTCTTTCCACCATCTGGCTCAGGCGCACTGACAACTGCCACGCAGAGATAAGCAAATCAGTTCACCTTGGCCACACTTATAGACAGCAGGAAGAGCCTTTCCATCACCTTCCTGCTTTGGGCCCTCACTCTTCCTTTGCTACTTCTGCCTCCATTCCCAGCCACTATGTGAGGAGTTATGTGAGGGCAGGAACCCTGGGAGAATAACATGAAGGGCAAAGGGGTCCAGGAGAGCTGGCTGTATTTTAAAGAATCCTTATTGAGGTTGCAGGAACAAACCATCCCGATGTGTAGAAAGAATAGTAAATATGGCAGGCAACCAGCTTGGCTAAACAGTGAAATCCTTGCTGATCTTAAAAGCAAAAAAGCTTACAAGAAGTGGAAGATTGGACAAATGACCAGGGAGGAGTATAAAAATATTGCTCAGGCGTGCAGGAGTGAAATCAGGAAGGCCAAATCACACTTGGAGTTGCAGTTAGCAAGAGATGTTAAGAGTAACAAGAAGGGTTTCTTGCGGGCCTGTGCTCTGTGGTACGCAGAGTTGGGATTGGAAGGGCCTCTGACGCCAT